TTGTGTTTCAACCAAATTAGGCTTAATTAACTGTAATATGAAGATTTTTAGTGGCAAAATGTGCTTTTTGTTAAAATTAACAAATTTAAACCATGAAATTATAAAACTGGACAAAGACATCGTGTCCAGCCAAACGACGCCAATATTTAACTGTGAAATTATAAACCTTGATTAGAATGGTGTGAAATCATAAAATCCAAGTTTCACAAGGACAACCTTGATTTTTACGACAATGACGATTGTTCTGATTCATACCAACATCTCCAAAAATAAGTAAATTTATCGCCCGTTACAAAAGATCTCCATTTTGAACAACAAGGTATTGCAAAAGTAGCGTCTTGGTCTCATGTAGTTCGACTGTATGAACTGGATAAAAGTCACGGTAATTATTACAGCCAATTTTGTAAATTAACAGACGAACACGTAATACTATCAAAAATTAAGAAAATGAAGGTGAACAATTGTACCCAGGTATTCAGTCATACAGTCGGTACTGCCATGCATGCTGCAGCCCGTGTAAGCACAGAACTTTCAACAGAATCAAAGTTTTATATAGATCCCACATCAACAAATACAGCTTTTTTTTTGATAAACTTTTTGACAGTGTCAATGGTAATTTAAGACATCCGTTACCTGGAAAATAGCTGCGGTGTATGGTGACACAAAATTCTAACCATATTTCATTTTGGAATTCTGCTCTACCCGTCCTTTCATCTATGTTTTCTACAGCACCGCATTCCAATTTTCCAATTAGATCTCCTTGTTTGAAAAAGTGGGTGTTTTCAATTCGTGGATTAATTTATTTAACACCTAAATGAGTTGAAGAAAATTTCAAACAATACGCTGTTCGCTGTTTCAATCAAGACCCTGTAGAGATTTTTTTTCCTGTATTAGGAGTCATGGAGTGCGGAATACAAACCCTACTTGTTCTTCTTTTATATCTTCCTGCAAATCATTATTGGTCAATAATTTTGTATCACTATATTCCGTAGGAGCTAACTGCAAAACTGATGAATCAACCGGTCCTCTAGATAATTTAAAACTATTCCTCGTAAATTCTATGCAAGTGTATGCTATAGAACCTTATATTGATAATAACTTGAATTTTCCACAATCTGAAATTTCTGCAACAGAAACTGTAGTGAACTTTGCATCGAACTATGTAGCTGGATATGCAGGGAAAAAAATTCTGAGCAAACACCCGTTCAAGTTTTGTAAACAGATAATGTGCAGTTCAGATACTAAATATGTTGGAAAACCTCCTAATTTCTGAGAGGACTTACGAAGGATGTCACTTAATTCATCCATCTAGTAAATTTTCCAGGATTTTTAAGGAAGTTTCCATTACATTGTTACAGTTTATTCCAAACTATATTTTATGTTATGGAATCAAAAGAAAACTCCAAACATTATTGGCTAACAATAGTAATATTCTCACACTTTTCTGCTCAGAACATAGAGAAAATACCATCAAATTTATTAACGTTTGCGTAAACGTGCTTTTATATTCATATCTTAGAAATGTGAATAAAAAATTGTCTGGTAAGGATTTACGGTATGTTACTCAAGATCTTGTAGTCGCTTTGGCATATCAGAAATATTTAAAAAGACGAAAAGAGTAGTACATATTATTTCAATTTTACTTTATTTACGTATTTTATTTTATATTATTATTTCAATTCATATACATATTATAGTTCATATTTAATTGTTCGTATGTGACTTTTATTTATTTTTTACTGTTAATTAGCTTCAATATATTTTGCTTCTACATGTTTTTTGTGTTTATATTAAACATTTCAAACAAAGTAAAAAAACAAAATAAAAGATTTAAATGTCCCGGTCATGACCTCCCTGTACATAATTACAGGTTTCCAACACATGTTGTTAATTTTGGCCACTGAGGTTTGTGGCGGCAAATATAGATGGCGCAGAAATTCAATATACGTTTTCAGTGAGAGTCGCCCATTTATTTCCATCTGATCTATGATTGCGACGCTTCATGCGAATCCCTATATCCATGGAAAGGACACGTACAATTAACGGTCTAGGACAATTAGGCGCGGCCGACTTGGCCATTGTTTAAATATATTAAAGTACTAGGAAAGATAATTGCAAACGCCATCAATTACTTTATGAGGGGTCTTTAGTACTTTGGACCGCAACCTGCAATAAAACCATTACAAACCCTTCGCAACGAAAGTACGACTTCGGCCAGGGCCGGACTTCAAATTTTGGAGCGTTCATATATGAATCATGGTAGAGTTAATTTTTATTGGGATTTTTGTAGAAAATATGTATTTGCAAAGATTTAAAAAGTTTTAAGAACCACACTTTAATTTAATTCTAAGATTAAATTCCTTGAAAGCGGTCCGTTTAACAATCTACCTGTTCATGTATTGAAACAAATACGGTCCTGGAAAGGTAAAGGTGGCGAGTAATCTTGATTGACAGTTTTATGCTCGGTGCACTTTTCGAAGTGGTCCGAAATTTTACAGCTGCAATTCCCATAATTGGAGTCATTTGCAAATATCTTTCGGCGTATAGTATTAGAAGCTATAAGGTTATATGGCCATCATAAAATTACCCCATTGTGTCGAAGTTAAGTTGTTACTAAGTTAAGCTTTCACTAAATATGAAAATCCACCACTCCGTTAATCGGCTACTACCTGCAGCCGCAGAGGGTTCCGAAATAACCAGTCGCTTTGAAAGCCGACCCTGTTAAATGTGAGCAAGATATATTTTGAAGTAAGCTTAGTGCGAACGACACAAAGGAGGTAATTATTTTACTTTTATTGTGATCATATAACTTACAGCTTTTGGGCTACTTTACAATACCTGATACATGAGCAAAATTTTTACCGCAATTCGGTCAAAATTATCCATATAACAGAGTGCCTGATATTTAAGCGAAATTAGCACTTCAATTCGTATACGACCATATTTCTAGATGTCTGTTTTTGGTGTCGTTATTTACAAAGAACAAACTTTGCTCTACAAAATTCCACAACCTTGAAAATTAAAGGCTTTTTACTTTCCAACTACAAGCTAAAGAAATTTTGTAATTGAATCCATCGAGCGACAGACTATTTTCATGTTTTCTCGACATTTCATGCCACTTTGAGTTGGAAAGATAGGTCTCCCGTTTCCGTCTGTCGGTCTGTCTGTCCTTTGTCAATTCTTATTAGACAAATAATCTTCGAAACTATCTGACCGATTGTTGTCAAATTTTAATGCATGTTAGGTTTAATGTTATTTAAATTTTATTAAATAAAATACTCCTACACTTGTGCTTTAAGAATCCGTGTTGATTTTTTACACAAACATTAAGATTTTTGAAAAAAAATCAAAATTACATAACAATATTTTGCAGTTTAACTTTGAAAATCTACAATCGAATGCCGTGAACTTAATGTAACGTGTCTATAAATGATTCTGGTATCAAAAGCGGCTTTGAAAAATGTGCCGCAATGTGGTAAAAAACGGAAAAATAATAATTAACAACATAAATTCCTGAGTCATCCTTGATGTCACAATAAACACGATATAGAATCTCTATATTTGTACACTAAAACATTATCAAAAAAGTACATAAAAACATTTCAAAAAATATGCCAAATTTTATATGTGTATTATAAATATTATGTACATGGTAAAATGCTAACCAACTTTAACTAATCATCCCCATCAATAATGTAATGACGTCACATCAAAATTGTACATAGCAAATGGGTTTTAAATTGTATACTCGTAAAATAACATAGTCCTACAGATGTAGTTTATGACTTTTTTTTTAAATCATGCATATGTTTTAAAGTTATGACAAGCATGATAAATTTTTGATCAAAATGAACTTGCTTATCCCTCCTCCCCAAAAAATTCATGACTCAAAATTTTGCCAAATAAATCCGATTATATTTTAGATTTGCTTGTAAACATGGTGTTTCAAAAAAATTAATAACTGAATCAATTTATTTTATTGATTTAATCAGGAACTGCAAAACGAACTGCTCTGAAATCTTGCAGACGTTTTGAAGATATTGTAAGCGTGGTAATCTAAATGTATTTACCTAGCAACCCCAAAAAAGTGATGACGTCACCTCAAAATTTTGCCGAATAAATACTATCTAAAATGTGTAAAATTTGATCAGTTATACTTGTAATTTATCACTGCATTCATATTGTTTGGATTTACTTAAACAAGAGAAATCAAAAAAATTAATGAACCGGTCAATTTATTTTATAGAAAAAGTCAAGAATTGCAAAACTCAATACTCGGAAATCTTGCAGACCTTTTAAAGTTATCGTAAGCTTGGTAAGTTATTATTAATCAAAATATATCTGTTTATTCGCCCAAAAAACTGATGACGTCATCTCAAAATTTTGCCGAATAAATCTGCCTAAAATGTGCAAAATAAGACAAGTTTGTACTTGTGATTTATTCTTGCATTATTATTTTTTAGAGTTGCTTATACAAGTGGCTCAAAAAAATCAATGAATGAGTCAATTTATTTTATTGATTAAATCAATAACAGTTCATTTCATTTTCCCAGAAATTTTTGAAATGTAATACGTTTATTTTTAGTATTACACTGCACCGATCTAAGCTGATAAACGTGTTCTTGCAAAAATATTGATGATGTCATCACAAAATTGTGTAAAGTAAAAATTCAACTCGGGAATTTTTGTGTATAAGCCGAGAAACCAATCTGCAAAGTACTGGAATTTTTTCTTGTATGTAAAAATAACCTTTCAATGAAAAGTAATACTTAATACTAATTATCTAAAGAAATTTCTTTAGATAATAATTTGGAGACCTGAGTTTATATAAGAACTAATAAACGGCAGTTGATTGATATTAGAATGTAAAACTGCTTTTGAAACTTTTATTAAACTTATTTGGATGCATATATATTTAAGCTCTAATAACTCAATAAACGTGGGCCATTAGTGGATGTAGGTACCTCATAATATTTTATGATAATTCTGGGCTCCTAACAATGTGGTGGAGCTGCGGTAAATCCTATTGTTACAGTGTCTCTTAAATCTACCTGGTTTGTAATCCAAATCTATTGTAACATGGGGCCTATATATATATGAGGTAGGTATACCCTAAAAGACCCGAGATTACTTAATTGATTCCTAGAATTACATCCCCACCAAAAGGTCCCTTCAGGTATATAAGCAAGAGGAGTTGTTCCAATTTGTATACACAAATGGTGAATCGAAGTGCCAGGTGCCTTAGCTTAGACCAATTGAAGTTTGTTACTTGCTGAAGAAGTTCCGGTAAGTACTGTTATATTATCTGTGTAAAATAAACAGTGAGAAGTTCAATCGTCGTAATAAAATTTTATATTACCGAAATTTCACTTTTGAAATTTTTTACTTTCGAACTAAGATGTGTGGTATCACCTTTTAGTCAGGTCAGGTCAGGTATACATTAACACTGCAGTTTTGTGTAGCTTTACAATGTTATTTTTAAGACAACAGTAAATTTCGCGCTTCTTATAGTACAAAATAATTTTTATACCGACATTTCGTAATTGTGTAAATAAAACTACAATTTTTGTTTATTCTTTCAGATACCATCATGTCTGCCGATGAATCTCAGGCCGAATTTAACGTCGATTACATCTACCCGGGTTTACACTTTTTTCGACAATTGGAATACGGTGTAGATTTCGAAAAAGCCACCGTTGAGCAGCGTATTCTCGAACTTGTCGCAAAAATCTTCAATTCCGACAACCCTCCAACAACAGATAACGTTACTCCGTGCATAAACATTCCTCGACGCCTAACTTATCTCGTCAACAAACCCAACCTCAGAATCTATGGACAACTGTGGCGATGGACACACATCCGTAAACTCAGAGCAGAAAGAGAGTTGTCACAATTTAAACCCGACAGAACATGTTATTCAGCAATTCATGGTGAAATTTGTCTCAATCCATTACACTACTTGAGGAAGAGCCGATCAACTTCAGGCCTCGCATGGTGTCCACCTCTTCATCCGTGGGCGACCATCGCGTATTACGAAAAGTCTCGCAAGTTAGAAACTTTTCAGTGTTTTCCACCTGAGATTCGTGTAACGTTTAATACCGTGCCTGGAGTAGGGTGTTTCAATTTGGAGGGAATTCAAAACGAGTTACGAGAGGACGAAGTGGCCAATACGAGAAGACAAATAGGAGACGGAATTTTTCTATATTATGAGAATGGGCAGGTTGTTGTGCAACTGTTGTCTGACTCGGGCGTTTATATCCAATCGATTTATTGTAATAGGATAAAAAATCATGGAGAACATACTCTTCATTGGTTACAATCATTTGATTTAAGATCTATGAAACTGATGGATGATGATAAATTCCATATCTTATTGGATAAGGCGGTACAAGAAGGAGTTGAAGCCGTCTATGAGCTTGCAAAGATTTTTACCATACGAGTAGTTTTTGTGGACTACTGGAGTACGAATACACCGGTTACAGATTACAATTGTTGGATAGAGATACGATTATGTAGACAGATGAACTGGTTAGACAACGCTTTGCGACAAATGGGGGCCCCTTGCGTATAAACTCCATTAGTGACATGTTTTTAACAATGTACGTAGCATCAATTTTATAATAAAAGTTTTATTATGTTTCCTTTCTGGAATTACATTTTTTTTGTGTGGTGACTGGTGCTATTATTAGCCAAAAGAAAAAAAAATGAGAAGAAAACTAATGCAAATAAAATTTGTAAACAACGTGGAGAGATGCCAATCTCGAACATAAATCCTGAAAATTGTGATCCATTATCTGACACAACTATTTGCGGAATACCTAATCTACCAAAAGTATTCTTCAAGTGTTAAATCGCAGTATCAGCTGTAATAAATAATAAATTTCTCTTTCCTTAATTCGTATAAATCGCAACCTATTTTCTGCCATGGAAATTTTGGAACAGTAGGCGATATTAACGGTTCCCTAAAATTATTCCTGCAATACTTCTGACAAGCTTCACATGACATGACTTTATTTTCTATGTCGCGCTACATACCTGGCCAACAAAGTAATTGCCTGGCTTTTAAGAAACATTTTCTGATCCCTAAATGACTCACATGAATAATATCTAACATATTTTTCTCTAAGGATCGTGGTACTACTAAGCAATTTCCTTTATGAATCAAATCGTGCAAGAAAAATACTTAAAATGGACATTGGGATTGGAAAAGTGTACGCTGGGGTATATAATAAGAGAAGAAACAAAAAGAGAGAAAATGAGAGTGGAAGCGGGTAAAAGGGCGGTTCGGTTTGAACAGAAGTTTAGTGAGAGAGGTGATTGTGAAATATTGCAAGAATGTTGAAAAGAAATAAGAAAGGAAGGGGGAAAACATGTTCGGAACGAAAGAGACAAGTATTATGAAGGAAAGAAATATGCATGTGAAGAAATAGGGAGAATGAGAGAAATGGGAAGGAGCATGAAAGAAGAACCGAGTGTAAGAGATAAGGATATAGATAAGCAAGAACGCAGATCGAGAATATCGGAGTCTAGATATAATGCAAAGTATAGAAAAATAGAAAAGGAAGAAGTACCAAAATATAGACACACAAAGAGAGAGAGAGTATAAGGGGGAAAAGAATGATGGGGAGATTTAGGTGTGGGATCAAGAGAAAAAGAATAATTTTTGGATGGATGAAACTGACAGAAGGTGTAGGATATGTTGGAGGGAGGGAGAAACAATAGCGCATATGCTGGAAGGATGTGAAGGATTGAGAGAATCGAAGGAAAGTTCTCGATGCGCAGGGAGTCCCACTGAGCCCATAACGCCTTGAAAGAGGGTGACTCGTTTGATATTTCCGACCAAGCTGGCCGTTCTGCCCCAACTTCTTTCCATTTGAGCAACGGTCTGATATCCACGTCCTCTTCTTGGTCTTTTCTAAGCTGAGCTGTAGTCCATTCTTCGTCTTCGGTGACTGCAGTCCTCCCACAGTTGAATGACGTTTCACGTTGCTCGATCTTGTCGCAGTGTTTGCAGTTCTTACATAGTCTTCTCGACAAAGAGTTCGCATTATTGTGGAGCTTACCAGTCCTGTGTCGAATTTTGAAGTGATACTGTTGGAGTCGTTAAAGCCATCTTGTCTTTCGGGATTCTTCATCTGAAAGAGCCATATGAGGGCTGCGTAATCGGTTCTAATCAGGAATTCGCGTCCATAGAGATACTTATGGAAGTGTTCAACAGCCCTGACAATCGCCAGCAACTCCTTCCTCGTAGCACAGTAGTTCTCGGTTTTCAAAAGTATGCCGCTGAAGTATTCGATGACTTTTTCTTCTTTGTCCTGCACCTGTGACAATACAGCACCTATTCCGATATTGCTCGCGTCCGTGTCCAAGATGAACATTCCCGATGATTGAGGATAGGACAGAATAGGACTAGAGCATAGCGCGTTCTTCAATCTTTTAAAGGCGGCTTCACATTCAGCCGCCGAATTAAACTGAGACTTCAAATCCATCAGCCTGTGCAGAGGAGCAGCAATATCAGCAAACCCGTTGACAAACCTTCTGTAGTACGTACACAATCCCAAGAAACTGCGGACTTCGTGTTTATCCCTTGGTCTTGGCCAATCGCGAATCGCGTTGATTCTAACTCAGTCTTTAGTTGGTGTTCAATTTCCTCTTTTACTTTTTCATCCATCAAGACCACATTTTCTCCAACAAAATTTTCCACAACCTTCAAATTTGTTTGTATGTCCTTCATTTGTTCTTTAATTCCCGTGATTTCATTTTGGTTTGCTTCCACTTCCATTTGGAATTTTTCACTTAGGCTGGTGATTATGGCATGTTTTTGCTTGTCTATTTTTTCGTCCGTCTTTTCCATCCTTCCATCCATTTTTTCGTCCATTTCTTTGTTTCTTGCCTCCATTTTCTCGTCCATTTTTTCGTTCATTTTTTTCATTTTCGCGTTGATTTGTTCGCCTCTTGCATCCATTTTTTCCATTCTTGCGCCCATTTCTTCCTTCATTTAGTTCCCCATTTTTTCCATTCTTGTGCCCATTTTCTCGTCCATTTGTGCAAGCATAGCGATGATCTTTTCCTCCATTTTCGCAGCTTGAGCTCTCGTCTCGATAGGCATAAATTGTTCAGAGTTCTTGTCCGATTTGCCCAGATGTCGTTGTAATAAAACCGGTTATTAATTTTAGATCCCACTTCTGACACCAGTGTTACGTTTGACGGGTGAATAATTAATCCGGCGTAGGTTAAAAACTCAACAATTTATTCCTTTAACTCGAATTACACTACCAGCTATAACAGCGATAACTTCGCAACTTAAACGCATTCGCTCATTCGACTCTTGACTAAATTATTAATTAATCATTCCCGATGGTGGTCTTTATTTATCCATATTTCGGAGATCCAGCTCTTTCTCGAATTAGGTATTCGCGACTTCCGCTTCCAGGCTTTTCGAACTCCGTTTTACGTACTGTTTTAATCACCTGATCACCCCACATTAGTATTCACTGTACCTATCCAAAGTGATAAACGTGTCCGTGCAAAAATATTGATTACGTCTTCACAAAATTTTTTCTAATTGAGAAACTCATTTGAAACATACGCGTAGCACGTTTCTTTATTTAAACTTATAGAGGTTCTTTTATTACTATTATTACACCCTTGATATTTAAATAACTGTTATGAACGTGAAACCGTCATATGATAACTTTAAAACATCTGCAAGATTTCAAAGCATTCAGGATGCAGATTCAAAATTAAATTGCAAAATGTTTTTTATATGTAGTTTTGATTTATTTTCGAAAAATCTGGACGTTTCGGGTAAAAACTCAACACGGCGTGATAAAATACATACATAGGACTATGTTATTTTATAGAATTTAAAACCCATTTACTATGTACAATTTTGAAGTGACGTCATCACATTATTAGTGGGGATGATTAGGCAAATTTAGGTTAGCGTTTTACCATCCACACGATATTCCTAATACAAATACAAAATTTCACAATAATCGGTCCAGTACTTTCGGAGATTATCTGTCTAATAAATATCCGGGACGGCAGACAGACGGACAGACAGACGTAAACGAGCGACATATTTCTTCGTCTTCTAGGTGTCATGAAAGGTCGAGAAAATGTAAAAGTAGAGAGTCGGTCGACGGACTCAATTACAATATTTCCTTTGGGAAGTAAAAAACACCTTTGACAGGATTCGAAACTTTGCAATTCACCAACAAGGTTTCTCTAAATGGCTCGTGAAATATTGTAGATTAATTACAATTACGACTTAAATAATAGAAGTTTGGAAACGTTTATATAAGGAATCCAAATAAATTTATTTTCAGTTCAGAGACATCCGTCATACGTGCAGTTTAGTTCATAATTTAAGTCCGTTATTATCGTGTTTTCCCAATAAGCTGTAATTATTTAAGTAAATAATTGTAAAGTAGAATTAAGTGATACATGTGAATAATCAATAATCAATACTCAAATCATAAATAAGTAATCAGTGTTAGAATAGGAATAGTGAATAAAAAGTAAAGTTCATTTTAAAAACAGGTTTATTTATCAATAAACTTAACCAGCAGTTAATTTTTGTTATAATTGGGATTTTGACTTATATTACATAATACCATAATATAAACTGACTTTTAAAAGAGTCAAGAATTGACCGTTGTATTAATACAAAATACAATTATTTCTTTAATATTTATTTGTCTCATCTTATTCAGTTAATGGATGCACTAATTAATTAAAATCCTAGCAAAAACAAGTTTGCCTTAGTTCGTTATAAAACCGCATATACCGCAGGATTGCGTTATACAAACGCTAATTCAATTTTTCCATAAAAAAAAAAACAAATTTTTCATTCGAATTTTTATGCAATATTTAAATCTGTCAAGGCTCACATATTAACAAGTTTTTTTTACTATTTGAACTAATATCTATATATTTGAAAAAAGTAGTTGATAACAAGTAGTGTGCGAATACCTTGACCTGGAATGTCATCGACTTTCTTGCACAATTCTCCAAAACAACAATCTTAAGTTTAATTACAATGTTTCTTATTGTCAAATGGAAAGTGATCAATCCGGTTTTTAATCCACAAATTTTAAATTCGTTTCATCCGATTTTATTTAAGAATCTATGTAATACGTTAATTAGAGCTTCAGAAACATACTACGGAGAAAATGTTATTTTATTTTATTTTATTCTATTATGTCTCCAACAGACCGGAGGCCCAATTACAGGAGACAGGACAAACACAACACCCAGAGGCAGGGCGGGAATAGAACCCACGACCCAAAGTGTGGCGGGGAAGCACACAGAAGAAGTGCTTCCGACAATTTGGCGTTCTACCTTAGATATCGTTTTTAAGGATTTATTTTTGGAAATATTATAGTTATTTATGTATTAAGGGCATAATCAGGGAGATTGTGGCACGAGGGAATGTTTAAAGCCCGACGAAGGAGGGCTTTTAATTTCCCGAGTGCCACAATCGACAATTATGCACGTGGTACATACAACGTTTTATTCTATTTTAGTTTCTAAACTATTTTTAACGAAATATTGAGTATTTTCGGCAAGACTGTGTGAAATGTGCCGATGCGAATTTTAATACATAGCTGGCTATTATTTTGATGTTGTTATGGATACCACGTTGATTATTTGATAATTCGTTTTTCAAAATGTAAATTAAAGAAGCGGAAAACGTTCATTCAAACGAAAGTTTAGAAGAATTTGAAGTCGGTCAGGTAATGATTTGATAAAATATCATTTTTCCAACTTAAGAAAAACGTTGAATATCGAAGCGTGTTTGAATAATTAATTGATTAGTGTAAATGAACAATCAATTGTTGCTTAGCAATTTTTGACAGATTTGTGCTAAAAAGGCCAATTTAAGCCCGCATTTGGGTGCTTATAAATAAGATTATGGTTCTAAAATAGAATAAAAAATATTTGACACCTTTTTGTAATTATTTTTATATTTTATTTTCTTTTACGTTTTCTCGACCTTTCATGACCCCCAAAATACGAAGAAATAGGTCTCCCGTTTCCGTCTGTCTGTCCATCTGCCGTCCTGGATTTTTTAAAAGTAACATTGGGGGCCGTGCATTCAGAACTACTTTCTAGAAGAAATACTAAATTTGTACCGGATATCGTTAGGTATTACATTTTTGTTACATCTTACTCTTGATACTGGACCTTGGTATGTACTTTCAGATTCGAGGAATCACAGAAATTGAAAAAAATTGTAAAAAAAATTTATAAGCAACTTAAGAAAATCATATATTTGGAAACAAATTTGTGTATATAATCGACTCAGTTTCGGTTCACGGAGATTTTGTTTCTAGCATTCCCATCAGAACTATATATTATTATGATATTATAATTATCTTTATAATTTTAAAAGTTATAGTTAAAATCTATATTTTTATGAAAACTAACTCTTGCGGTTTAGGAAGCAATGTCAATCCACAAATCGGAGAAAAATCCACATCACCAGAGTTACATGCCTCAATTTTAAAATTTTTCACCACGGTAGCAACAAATAAAAACATCATCATTTTTCCTAATTCCTCTCCAACACACATTCTCTTGCCTGAAAACATTACGTTATACTAACTTGTTCACACGACCGCCAATTCGATTTTACCGGTCTGGAAAGGAAGAAATGCTTCTAATTGCAGAAATCTTCCTTCATCGTCTAAAAATCGATCAGGGGAAAATTCTTCAGGATTCTTCCAAAATTTCTGGTCCATATGAATTGCCCACAACAGTGACAAAATCATGCTACCTTTTGGTATCTTAAAATTTTCTATTTGTATATCTTCTAAAGCGTAGTGAGGAAAACCTAATGGTACCACAGTTCGAATTCTAGACACTTCAGAAATAGTGGCATGCGTATACGGCAAATTTTGTAAATCTTCCATTTGTAGAGATTTGTTTTGTAAAACCTTATTAAGTTCGTTGCGTACTTTATTTTGCACGTTTTGGTACTTTGCCAGGTACAACAGAACCCAGAATAACGTATTTGAGGTAGTTTCAATGCTAGCACCAAACACATCGAATAGCAAAAACTGCAACTGCTCCGTGTTATAAATTTCTTCAGAGTCACACTTTAATTTCTGCTGAAAAAATGCTTCGATGAGGTTTAAATATTCGTCCTCAGAGTTATTAGAAGAACATTTTTCTGCCATTTCGATACATTGGTTTTGAATATGATGAACGTCCTCAACATATTTAGTAAGTGAAGAAATTGTGTGTTTGTACTGTGGAAGGAATCTGAAAGTACATAATAATAATAATACAGCAATTGTGAGTTTTTTTCGGCTGACCGTAAAAATGGTAAAAAATTTATAGGACCTCCAACAGCTAGTAGCTTTGTAACTTTATCATAGCTGTCTAACAAAGTTTTTCGAATTTTGTCCCCTCGGTTAAATGATTTTCCTAGAAACATGGTACTGGCTACACTAATTACATAATTTCCTATAGCTTCTGAGGGATTCAGATTTGTTTTTTCTCCTTGACTGCTTAATAACTGTAAAAATAAGAAAATGTGTAATATTTTAACACTGCTTAAGTAAGTGTAAACTTACTTCCATAAATTCTTCTACATATTTTTTTATAATATTTTCTAATATTTTCTTTTTTGATGAAAATTTGGCTGCACCCGATGTCCTTAGAAAATTACTTACAAATTTACGTTGATCCCTCCATAAGTGCATAGGTGCATACGCAATTCCTATTTTAATAAAAAGGTTTTACACATACGTTTAATAATATTTGATATACTGTAACCTCATTCGAGATGCACCAACTTTTATGACTGAAGCGGCTTAAGCCATACCACCATTATAAGTCAACCTGGCTATTGTATTACTTAACTCAGTTCACAGCTACATTATGCCAACAATGGACAGTAATAATCTTGCGGTTTGGGTCCACAAAGCTTACAATAGCCAGTTTAACTTATAAGGGTGTTTTGGCTTAAGCCGCTTAAGTCATAAA